AAGGTCATGACACCTTCAAGATGACAAGTAGTAAGGTCTTGATCAGATACAGTTACTGGTTCAGGTTCAGACGAGGACAGCCTGTTCTCATGGGTATTCACTCTCTCGGTGGTTACCGTGGTTTCAGCGGTAGTTGTAACCACTGGTTCTGATATTGACAGCCCCTTTTCATGACTGGCCAACACCAGAGTGGTCGCCGTGACATCCGCGGTGGTTGTATCCACTGGGTCAGATATTGACAGCCCCTTTTCATGACTGGTCAACGTCAGAGTGGTCGCCGTGATTTTATCTAAACCAATAACTTGCTGAATGCCTTCAGTACTTGTCGGCACACAACTCTCAACTCGTAAGCTATCAGCACGTTTTGACGTTTGTGCTGGTTCCGCTAGGTCAGAGTCGACTTCAGGGACTGAGCCAAAGCTAGTGGCAGCCTTAGTCTGAGACTGACAAAACTCACTACCAACTCTATCAGACAACAAACTATCTTCATCTCTATACCGATCCTCGGAAACTACTACACTAGCCTGAGAGAAAACAGAGACAGATTCTGGAATGTCAAACAACCCACTAAGCTGCGCCTCCTCCTCTAGCCTAAGTAAATCCCGTTCCCTCCTGATCTCTAATAGTTTTACCTCATGTATTCTCAGTTTCTCTAAACTTTGAATATCATTTTCCTTACAAGATTCTGACATAAATATATCCCTCCTGATCTCTAATAACTTCTCCTCGTGTTCTCTTGCAATCTCTAACAACTTAACTTGAAACTTTCTCTCAATTTCTTCTACTCTAATGCGTCCTATCTCGTAGTATTCTATAGAGTCTAGACACTCCTCCTCTAATCTACCTGTATTCACTAACTCAACAACAATATGATCTCGTAGAACTCTATCTCTATCCGACACATCAACCTCTAGTCCTAGCTCCTCAACTAGACGCAACAACTCTAAGCGACAAAACCTGTCTAAAACTTCTAGAGTTGGACACTCAATAAAACTCATTACGTCCATGACTCACACTTACGGAACTTATCCAGCTAAATGGTAGCGGTTAACTAAGAAAATGTGGCTCACACAAAAACTTTAACTTAAACATTACAAGTACGGCTATCACCTTTGACACTTAAAACAGGTAGACACCAGCTATACTGGGCCAACCAAACTAAGATATCCAGCTACACTGGATCACAAACGATTTACTCACGTATACTGGGAATTGACCCTCCAGCTATACTGAGCAAACCAAACAAAAATTACGAATTTATTCACGTACCTGGGAATGACCCTCCAGCTGTACTGAATAAACCCGAACACTCCAGTTCCACTGGATCACACAAAAATATTCGAGTATACTGGGCATTAATCCCTCCAGCTATACTGAATCAACAAAAAAAAAGAACAACCTCTAATGAATAAATCAGTGTCAACACAAAGGTGATAAGCTCGCTACTTACTCAATGTTTGGAAAACTCTCCTGATTCCATGAACAACTTTACTCTCACTACTCATAAAACTTAAAACTCAAACACAAGCTCGTGAGCCCCCAACTGAAAATGGCATCAAAAGAAACTATTCAACTATGGCCTCGTTGTCTATTCAATCCCGGACGAGCCCCCAATTGTTACGTACCCCCTACTCTAATCCTTTCGAACTAGTCAGGGGATCGTAAACAAGAAGAAAAATAAAAATAAATAAAAGCCAACTTCAGTAATCTCTATTTATTCGCCACAAAATACAACATCTAACATTAACCCGCCACCGGAGTACAACAATCAGAAATATACACAAGTAACTACAACAACTAAAGTTCTTAGTACGACTACCCTACTTGTCCCTAACGGTCTATCTAGCCTAGGTCTAGTACATGTCGTGGCTCTCCACTAGCTCACAGAGACGCCCCATGTCTGTCTCCCCTAAACCTAGCTATCCGAGACCAGTCCGTCCGTCTCCAAGTGTGTCCGAGTCCCGAGTGTCTGTGTCCTCTAGACCTAGCTATCCGAGTCCGTCCGTGTGTGACTCGTGAGCTCTGACTCTGACTGACTGACTGTCCCCAGTCTACCCCTCCTTAAATAACGGTCTCCTTTCTTTGTCTTCATCCAGCCTAACCTAATTCGTACGTCGCCACAGTTCTGTGGTAACTAATTAAAAGGTCAGACCCTACTGATAACTTCCTAGATTTTCCTCCAATCCGCCCGCCATACTGTCTCCCCTAAGGTCACATAGGTCAATAAGGCTGTCACCAGTAATTAGAATCTAACAACACAATTATCATCACCCCCTACCCCTTTAATAGGGTTAACCCAGGTAGAGATCCACTGGGATCGTAACAATATATATATATATATATATATATATATATATATATATATATATATATATATATATATATATATATATATATATATATATAGACTGCTTAGTCACTACAGCCTATTTAGTTTTGAACTCTAAATCCTAGATTTGTTGCATGCCCTGCTTTTCTTCACTTCATGTCTATGCACCCAAGTCTCCTCACTGTCACGGTTTAAGGACAGCCTGTGATGTTGGTTTAAAAGCCCTCAAAGAACATTTTTTAAGTCTCTGTGTGCTGAGATTATAGCCAGCAGAGCTGCTAACAAACCTTTGACAGCCCCAAACAATTACTCTTAAGCTTTGCTAATCCACCAGCTTAAATCAAGGTGAAAAAGCTTTTACCTGTCATCATTGATTTGTCAAAGGCTTTTCTTTCTTCACCAATTATTTTCATGTATTTCAAGTTTGTTCAGTTGATAACATTAATATATAATAGGCATATATATATAGATATATAAAATACCTACACATTTATATATACCTACTATATACAAACATGTTGTATGTAAAACACAAATACATAAAATAAATAATTAATTATATTGTATATAAATATTTAAAAAAAAAACAACTAAAAATAAATCCCATATTAACATAAGTTAACATCTTCACAATCGATTGTAGGAAAAAAAGTCACAGGAAAAAAAGTCACAGGAAAAAAAGTCACAGGAAAAAAAGTCACAAATATATATTTGCATGTATTAAATATTTAGAGTGCAAATTAACTTAGGATTAATTAAATGTAATGTAATGTGTGTAGGCTGTATACGCATAGGAATTTTTATAATTCATCTAAAAATATTTATTATGAAGTATGTAGATTGTAATTATTTTAAACTTAAGATTAGTAGCATTTAATAGAATGCTCCAAAGTCCACGGTTTTCATCGTGTGTTTTTTCTTAAATACCAATATTAAATTACCGTGAAATGGTAAGTTCATCTGACTTGCTGCCCTCAACTCAATGGCAACAATAGTTATGTTTAGTTCAACCACCTTTACTTCCCACATTTATCACGCTCATTACATAACAAAACTTAGGATCAAAACAGAAAGCCGACAAGGTTCAAAGGCTGTCATTGACGCGTAACGTCAACAACACAAAATATGTTCGGACAATGCCTACTGAGGAGAGGCCGGCCAGAGAATAGCCTACGGCAAAATTTGCCTAAATTTCTTTTATAATTAACTTTTCTACCGCGTATTTAACTAAATACGTAACAAGTTGAGATTGTTGTGTAAATTATCTTAGAGTATTTTTACTTACAATTGTTATAAATCATAATGCTTTTAACGTCTATAAATAATTTATGCTATCAAAAAATACAACCCACAAAAATAAACATACAAAATTTTACAATTCTTAACAAATTAATAAAAATATTTCTAAAAAGATTTTTGTGACTTTTTTTTCTGTGACTTTATTTCTGTGACTTTTTTTCCGATAAAATTTTTCCACTGTGACTTTTTTTCTGTGACTTTTTTTCCTAGCAAAAACTGTGACTTTTTTTCTGTGTTTTTTTTTTCCTGTGACTTTTTTTCCGTTTACCTCACAATCACACAGCCATCCCACACTGCTATCAGTATCAGCCATCTTATCTTCTTCTATATTTATATACTAGCCTTTTTTTTTCAAAACCCTGCCTTTATGCATCAGCACTGATGCCCATATATGTATTTTATGCTTCATTGCTTATATTTCTTACTGTTTAGCTAATGCTACATTTTTCTCTTTCTTTACAGCAAAGCTCATGGCGTAAAATTCGTAGTTTCATCCTGTGGTCTCCTTTCTCATTCAAGTTTTCAAAAAACACAGGTACCCATGGATCCAGTTAGCTGGGCATCAAGGTATGTTTGGTTGTTGTATGAACTAATTCTAGATCTCAGGTGTTAAGTCTTTATTAGGGTATTAAGGTATGTTTGGTTGTTGTATGAAGAAAGTCTAGATCTCAGGTGTTAAGTCTTTATTAGGGCATCAAGGTATGTTTGGTTGTTGTGTGAACAAAGTCTAGATCTTAGGTTTAAGTCTTTATTAGGGTATCAAGGTATGTTTGGTTGTTGTGTGAACAAAGTCTAGATCTCAGGTGTTAAGTCTTTATTAGGGCATCAAGGTATGTTTGGTTGTTCTGTTAACAAAGTCTAGATCTTAGGTTTAAGTCTTTATTAGTTAGGGTATCAAGGTATGTTTGGTTGTTGTGTGAACAAAGACTAGATCTCAGGTGTTAAGTCTTTATTAGGGTATCAAGGTATGTTTGGTTGTTGTGTGAACAAAGTCTAGATCTTAGGTTTAAGTCTTTATTAGGGTATCAAGGTATGTTTGGTTGTTGTGTGAACAAAGACTAGATCTCAGGTGTTAAGTCTTTATTAGGGTATCAAGGTATGTTTGGTTGTTGTGTGAACAAAGTCTAGATCTTAGGTTTAAGTCTTTATTAGGGTATCAAGGTATGTTTGGTTGTTCTGTTAACAAAGTCTAGATCTTAGGTTTAAGTCTTTATTAGGGTATCAATGTATGTTTGGTTGTTGTGTGAACAAAGTCTAGATCTTAGGTTTAAGTCTTTATTAGGGTATCAAGTTTCATCAAATATTGAAAGTTTTATGAAGGTGAAAAAAGTAAAAGTAAAGTACCCTTTCAAATCTTACGGTCCAAGGGTCAGGTATAGTTCATCTGTTTCTGTGACCTTAATATATGTAGGGATAGTGTGGTCAGTACTATCCATGGCCCCTTTCCTAACATGAGTCAGGTACCCATCAGAGCTGGGTGGAATTCGGGACACCCTACAAACTCGAACCTTTATGAAAGTGAACTGCTTCTTCAATTTTTGAACATTAAACAGCAGTTCTAAGCCTTTTTCTAGAAGTTTAACTCTAGTAAAAAATTCTTCTTATCTTCTTAAGTGTGCAATACATGTAAATATTGTATTAGGGGAGTAGTAAGATGAGCCTTACCATGTGAGAAACTTAGAATTATATTGAGGGAATGGGTTTTATGTTAGTGCTAACCAAGCAGAACCATTGATGACATCTGTGCCAAGTTTTGAGAACTATTGTCTTAAAGCATAGAATACATATTTTAATTAAACCCTAGAATAGGGCTTACTTATTTTCATCAAAGCGTAGAATTGTTGTATCTCCCAGAAATGTTGTACAAGTTTGTTTAAGAAAGTGTCCATTGTTCAGGAAACTTCCATGCTGGGGAGGCAGGTTCAGTGTTGAAGAAGTTAGACCCCAGGGAACAAGTCTGCTTTCAGAAACTGATGCTAGACACACTCAGAGATTGTGTGCCAGAGTACAGAGGACCAGAAGAGAAAAATGGAGAAAGTATCCTTTTCAACAAAACAAAATAAGCTTGTTTTTGTAGATATATTTTCACCATTTTGCTTGGTGTTTAGAGCTACCTTAATCTTTTAATTTAAAAAATAAAAAACTCTTATTCAATCCTATTCAACTGATAGATCAAAATATTTTTTAACTATCAGTTATTTAAAACTTATATTTAATATCTTTTATTAGGTCTTTTATAATTATTATCTCAAGTTCTAATAGTTGATTTGAGGACCCCACTTTTTGTTATTTGAACCACCTCAACTCCCTGGCCTTAATTTCTCCCATTTCCTGAGCTCCCAGGCCAAACCAATTTTCACTTATCTGCTTCTAACTTTGCCTATAACTTTTGAACCGTTTGAGATAATCAAGCCAAATTTCGTATCAGGATCAAACAACAATTCAGCAAGATTCTGAAATTCTTTATTTTTTTTTACAATGTATGAGCATAACAATGTATATAAATCGAACAAATAATTATTGTTTTGATAGAACATAGAAGAAACAAATTTACATTTAGTAATTGTTTTGTTATTATTGATACCTGGCCATACTAGTTCATCGCCAGAAGTCCACTTTTGTTTGATAACTTTCAAAACAGTTATCACTGCCCGACCTGCTGCAAAGAAAAACTCTGCATGTTTTGCACCAGTAAACAGCTTTGTTTTGTTTCGGCAAGTCTTTGTCCTTGGCATTTTGTCTTTTCACTCCAAACAGACCACACATCTGTTGTTGCTCCTGGTGGTCGCTCAGGTAAGTGCACTGGGATATTACCTTCATTGGTCAATCTTTCATCTGATAAAGTTCTCCTTCTGAACTGAACAACCCTTCTTCGATATGTTCCACCTAATTCATGGCAGAGTTTGTCAATAAACATATGGAAAGTTACACGATTTTTTCCAGATGGATTCTGTGGTTTGTACACTTTTCCAATTATGTAAGTAGGCACTCCATACAAAAAACTTCACCATCAAACGCCGCAGCCATTTATAATGGCGCCTTGATTTTTGTAGCTTGGTCATTTGATCGTTTTTGTCAGTCCCTCCCATATAAGCATTATATGCTTTCACTGCAGTTGGACACGATATTGGAATTCTTTTTCCTTCTTTTTGGTCATAGTGCTGCACAGTTACCTCCGTATCTTTGATATACTTTGTACATACAAAGTAAATTGGCTTCTTATCACCCCACACAATAGCTGCTGTTTTGCCATTGAACATGTTATGAGTACCATGATCCATTTTTTTGTCACAAGTTCCTTTGGAAACTGTTTGCGCTTTGTCAATGCTGTACCACATCACCTTGTATATCCAACAAGTACTCAGCTAAATTGACAGATGTATAGAATCAATTGGTAAATATGCAGTGATTGCGTCCTTGAAATGATTCACATCTTACGAAATGCAAACACTTTCACTTTTCCCAAAAATCTATTTTTAGAATCATAATCCCGCACTAAAAAGAAATATGTGCAGTATTATTCAGTCCGCCGCTAATTATATTTAATTAAACTGTATACGAGCCCCTAGGACTATGACGCAAGATAATCGGGCTGGAAAACTGGCTTTTTTAATATATATGCCTGATCTTGAAGCCGGTTTTCAGGCTTGTCGGGCTTAAAGGGTTAAGCTAAGCATATCTTATCTATTCATAAATGAAGAGCCTTTAATCTATACTTAAGATACATTTTAAATTGTTTTATTTGTTGTACAGTTATTTAACTTAGTTTTATTATCGCTCAAAGTAGTTTTTTTTTAATTAATTTGCCCCAAATAGTTTAGCTTATCAATGTGCTGCAGTAAGGTGTATTCACCTGATTAACTAACCTAATTTTAAACTGACCATTAGGGTTATTTTTTTTTACTAAATTTCCTGTCAGAGATCTGAAAGCTTCTCTATTTCTGAACTGGCCATTTTCCTCTTCTTAATAAATCCGAGCAGTCTGAAACATAAAATCAATGATCCCTTAACCACTGAACTAGCATACATTCAGCTGCAAGACTTGCTGTGTTCATTCAACCACCCCTGTGTCATGGATGTTAAAATGGGGGTCCGGACATATTTGGAAGATGAGAAAAAGCCAGAAAGTCTCCGTCTTTGAGAAAGGTAAGTTCTTTCTCTTCACTTAGCAACCCTCTTATTATAGGTAATTGCTCAGGTAAACTACAATTATACATCAGAGTAATATAATATTCAGCTGACCTTTGAACTATGTTGTCATTACCTGTGTTCATTGAGAAATGGCAGACACTAGTGCAGCAGACACTAATAAGATAGACAGACACTAGTATGATAGACAGACACTGATTTGACAGACAGATAATATGGCCAAAACAAGAATGACAGTTACCATTATGACAGACAAACTAGTAAGGCAGTCACTATTATGACAGACAAAAGTATGGCAGAAACTAGTTTGACAGACACTTCTACGACAATGATTAGTATTTCAAGTCTAAGACCAAGAATGCTGCATAACAACAAGCCATGCAGCTATCCCATTGTCTGTGGTTTGATTCCCTGGAATGTCAGCTATTCCTTTGTCTATACATTGATGGTGTAGGAATGTCAGTTATTTAGGCTTGACATCCCAGCACAATAGGCTTACAGGGAATCATCTGATCTGCTGTCTTCTGGGTTTTCTTTATGTCTACACTCACCTGGACTCTTTTTAAATACCTGGTTGTGATATCTCAGGTACATTTTAAAAAGGGAGAGTGTATCAGGTTTAAGCCACAAGGGTAGTTAAAAATACTGGGCCAAATACTTCACACAGAGCTATTTCTTTGAAATATTTTGCAATAAGCTCATCACATAAATACCTTTTTTTCTTCTAATTTTTTCTCTTCAAATAATTACATTTTACAACCAAATGTATATAGTGCTACATTTCTGTAATGAACTTAATCACTATATCTTCTTGGATCTCAACCAAACCAGCATCCTCAATAGTGTTCTCAATGTGCTTTTTGTATTTGATGTGTGTTCTAAAAATGGGGTAAGCCACTAATACTGTTCTTACTTGTACAGGACATGTACCAAAAGATGATTGAGATTGACACAACAGCCCCCACCACAGAGGAACATGAACAAAAAGCTGTGACCAAGCCCCGCTACATGCAGTGGAGAGATGAAATGAGTTCTTCTGTTGAGCTTGGTTTTCGTGTAGAGGGCATCAAGGTACAGAACTTTCAACTCTTAAATCTCATACAATAGTGTCTCTTCTTTTACTGTTCTTTTGAATTCCCTTAGGCGACCCATTTTCTTCTACCCCTGGGGATTCCAGTCTAACGCTTTCCTTGCTATATTATCCTTTTCCCTTCTCAGAGTATGCCTAATCTATCCCCATTTGTGGACTTCAAAGTCCTTTCTATTGGTGTTTATTTTGCCAAACTTTATTTGTAAAAACCAATAATAAATTTCAAATTAACTGTTTAAAAGCTGTTTTAGTCATTTATCTTATTTTGGCAAAAACATCGTTTACGCAAATTAAAATATTTTTCAGAAAAGTGATGGGAATTCCAGTAAAGATTTAAAAAAAACCAAAACAAGAGAAAACATTGTTGATATAATTAAATCCTTTGTTGGAGATAATGAAACTATTGTGGTAAGTATTAGAAAATGTCCTCCTTTAGTAAATGTAGTTAACACATAATTTATCAGAAAGCAAAGGAAGTTCTTATTATGAAATTGTCTTTCGATGACCTACATTGCTTATAGTGTCTTAAATATTCTTTGTTGTTAATATTTGTTTTCTAGAGTTCTAAAGTTTGTAAAAAAAAAGTGTTTATGCACATTTCTAATGTATACACAATAGCTGTTGTGTGATTATAATGTACATGTATATCAGTTTTGTTTGGTATTTTTGCAGGAAAAATACTTACAAAGATTAAAATATGTTATGCATACTCAAGAAATATCTGAATTTTTCTCTTCACATGAGGTAAACTTAACTTCCATTTTAACTAGCACTTAATTACAATAATTTTTTTTCTTACTTTTTACATTTTAAAAAAATTACTAGTCATTCCGTACATGCATGTTATTTATAATTTTTTAAAGTGGAATTAAAAACTTGAACTTTACAGGTCATAGGCAGCTCCTTGTTATTTGTTCATGATATGGATGACAATGTTGGTGTTTGGATGATTGACTTTGGTAAAACAGAACCCTTGCCTGAAGGTGTGAAGATCAATCACAGAGACAATTGGGTGGAAGGGAACCACGAGGATGGCTACCTGTTCGGACTTGATAACCTGGTTTCTATTTTTGATGAAGTCCACAAGGGCCTTAAATCAAGTGCTGTATAATTGTGTGTTAGTTTATTGAGAATGATATGTGCAGGCTGGTTGTTTTATTTTAAGTATGCCTCTAAACAGGCAATGCATAAATGTAATTTGGGGTTGATGCTTGCATATGGTGTGTCAGATTATTGTATCATTGGATTTTAAAATATTTTGAAATTTCTGTAATAGTTAAAATAGTTTGCTATAAAGAAAAGCCTGTAATATAACCTTGTCTTTGTATAATTCATCAATTTGGTTACAAAAATAATTGAATTAAGCCATTATTTATGTCAAAATTCATTAATATAAGGGAAGTAATGTACTCCAATTTTCCTTTTCAGTTAGCAAAATAAAAACTAACAAGAAATTTGTTCTAAAGTAATCCAAACAAAATTCTTTACACATCCTGTTTATTAAATATTTATGATCTCTTTTGATTATATAATTTTTAAATCCATGATTTGTTTAATATGAATAATTTATTCTATTAATAACATTCACATAATGTATATAAGGCTTTGTAGGAGTTGAACATACTATTGTTTAAGTTATAAATAAGTTCAATATAATATTGTTATGGCTATGATGAAGTTTTAGTAAGAATTCAAGGCTCAAATCTTAAGTTGTGCTCAGGTTGTGAGAAGTATTATGTTTACTGTAGTTGCTTATTTGTGCAACTGTGAAATCTTTTAGGTTCTTTCTAAAAAAAACTAGTGAAAACAGTATTATAATCTTGGGTTTTTTGTGACCAAAAAACAATGTTAATCTGTTGCGTTACATTTTTTAAAAATAGGTAGATCTCAGTTTCTTATTGTAAAAGAAAATTTCCTGGAATTATTACTTTCCAAGTAGTGGCATTGGCCCAGAAAACTTTCACCTGGGTCATAAATGTGCAGTGGTATTATAAAAACTTGTTTTTGTAGTCATTGGCTAGATTTTCTCATCCACACAAAAATGGCTACAAACTAGGCTTAACAAGATCATGCTGAATATAATTTATAGGATTATCAAAAAGGCATATGAAGTATTGGCTTTTACTTCCATTTATTTTTTTCAATCACAAACCAGCATCAAGGAAATCTTACAAATATCCTTAACATTTACCTGAAGAAAAAAATGATTAGCTTGATTTAACAATAGCCAACTAAAAGTTAATCTTTCAAAAATGTAAAGTCTGGTTGGTCTATATGTAAATAGAAATGTAGCCATATAATAAAAAAAAAACTATCTTCAAGTTCTCTGCATTTGTCTTATGATTGTGATCCTTTCAGCCATCTGGGCCAATGCCATTATGTTCTTTTACAAACACTCAAAAAATTGTTTTTAAAAGCTTTCTAGGAACTTCTTTTTCTCTTTCATAACCATCACCAAATTTCATATGTTGTGAAATATGTATTTATATGTATAACATCATAACATGCGTGTATAATACATATAAAAATGAGTATTTGCTTCTGTACATATGTAAAGTATAGCTCATTTTTTACTGTGATCTGATGTGTGCCACCTACTGTTTAACTTTTGGTGGCACATGATTAGCTTTCACTTTCCATAGCTGTTTACGATTTTTCTAAACTTAGTAGAGAAATCAAATTTGCCCGTTTTAAAATGAGTTAAAATCTCACTGATGTGTCCAAGAATATTGAAGATGTTTGAAACTAAATATTGTACAAAGCAAATGGATGTATAACTATATTTTTTTTTTAGATAAGCTATTATATAAATATATGCATATATAATTTATATATTTTCTATCAAGCGTCTTCTCTACATGTATGAGCTAAGAAAAAAAATTATTTTCTGAGATTTCTTTGTGTTCTTGTTTAAAACAAATGCTTTAATTCTTGGCTTGTAAATGTTTGAAAAACATCAGTATTTTCTTTTTAAATCAACAAACAAAAGTATCAGATGCTTTGTGAATTTTTGTGTATTTTAAAATTTAAAGTGCAGAAAAAAAAATTAGTATTTGTTAACCAGTCATTCTTTTAAGATGATTTAAATACTTTAAATTTTCACATTTTCTAAACCTTAGTGTACCAGTTGTCTTTTTAAATAAAATTAGTTTTCTAACAACTTCTTAATACATCAAAAGTATCACATTTTAAAGATGTGCAATTGAAATAAACAATTGAAAAATATAATCTTGCTTTGACCAATTTCTTTAAATTAAAAAGTGCATTGCAGCGAATAAGATTACTGAAGAGACTGGTTTTTTTTTTTTTAAACTATATTCTGTAATAATAGTAATATTAGAAATAAAATGACTAGCAATTAAAAAAACAACAAAGACCACATTAAAATATTTTGTACTTTATTTTGAATAAGGAAAAATTTGAACAACAGTCAAATAGTGTAGATAAAAATAATGAAAATCTGATCATATGCAAAAATAGCAACCATGACGACATCACAACAAGAGAAAGAGATGAAGACAAAAATACATTCACACCAAAAGTTGTATATTCAGTGAAGACCAAAGAAAAACATGCATTAGTGCACACGTATGGAGAGGAGGGGAGTTGTGGAGAAAAACTGACAGAAACAGGAGAGGGAAGGGAGGGGGGACCAAACCATATTACATTAAATATCTCACATCTAAACCTCACATAAGAATCTATACATCTGTTTTGGTGTTGTCCTTTCATTTTAAGTTTGTCTAAAAAATAAGATAAAATTCAGTAATTCCTAGCCGTACTACTGTCAGTAAAATATAAACAGCATAGAAAATAGTCACCTTAAAAAAAAAAGCACATTTGCTGCAAAAGCTACTTAGTCAATGAAAAATAGTACACTGTTGGTTGCTGCTCAAAAAAACAAATCAAGAACACAAATTCAACTATAAAATTCTGAAGAAAACAAATTTGTTCTTTAATTAAACAAATAATAAATATCTAATTCCTTAGCAAAAAAAAAATATTTTTATACCTCTAGATGTATCAGTTTTAGAAAGTAAACAGCTAAACTGACATGAACTCTGCCATAGTTAATAATAGAGAATGGTTTCGGGAATGCAAACAAAGTTTTGGTGTTGAATCATTCAGCATACTCAGTAAATACAGCCACATTGACAACTCAACACAATAGTTACTCCTTTTAATAAGTAAAAAAACAACTAGACCCTGAATAAATTGAAATGAAATAAATTTTAAACTAGAAAATGATTTTCAAATAAATGAAATTTTCTTGTGTGTACTAACCTCAAATAGCAAAATTTTATGTTCTCTCTGGCAATTTTACTATTAAATACAAAATAAATGTACCGGTAGTATTTGATATAATTTAGTTTAAGGTGGGGGTATATAAACCAGACAACTTATTAATGGAGAAATAAAGTACAAAACCTAAACTTGTATGAAATCATTTATGAATAGCTCCTCAATGCAATCATCCATGAATTAAATATTTCCTTCACCCAAGTTTGCGCGTAAGTAACACCTCTTTTATAAAATTCAACAAATTAAAATGTAATAAAACAGCTTGTAACAAAATTGTAGATAACTATTCAGATCAAAGTTTTAACAATTAGGGGGTAGTTTCAATGTTAAAAACACCATTCATGTTTTTATACAACTAGAAAAAACTATCAGAACAGTCAAGACTATTTTAAAGCACAGTAATAAAATGATAGAAATTTAAAGCTCTACTTGCAAGGAATCTTTCCCTGCTAATTATACCATATAAAAAAAGTACAAATGACTCTTACCTATAACTATAAGTAAAACAAAATGGCAACTGTGGTACATGCTATGTTCCTTATAACAGGATTAGCAAAGAAAGCCACATTATAATATGACTACCAGTCTTATTTACAAAATGAATGTCTCCGCTGAACTAAACATAGAAGATGATCCTGATCCAACCAGGACATTTGTACAAATTAGAATAAGACATTCTTGGTGAAATCAGCAGAAGCCTGACTGTTAGGGTTATCTAGATGCTCAGCACCAAAGGACAACAGATGGAGAAGATCCTATCTACTTGACAAAGCCTAGTTAATCTGTTCACCGCTAACAACCTTAAGTCAAGGTTTCGAGAACCTGGAGAGGAAAACAAAAGAAGAATTTTAAATTTACTTACTTAATGGCACATACATATCGATGCACATGATGTAGTATCAGATAGGTGGTTTCAATACATACCTCTTGAATAAGTCCTTTAGCTCCAACTCATTTAAAGTAAGAGTGAGAGTGATTGGTTTGTCCGTAGTTTGCTCTTTACCAGCTTCTTCCTGTACTTTAGTTGGCTCAGCCTCAGTTAGTTTATTTCTTTTTTTCCTTCTCCGTTTGTTATGTTGCTTAAATAAAATCATGTGAGTATTTTATAAACTACAGTAAATAATAAATCGTGCACTAAACTGGTTCCTTTACCACATTAACATTTTTCCAAAACTATTAACGTTCTTGCTAAAAAATTACCGTTTTTTCAGCACCACTTGTCCCAGGCTGGGGGGCTACCATCTAAGAATACAGTAAAAATTGTTATAATAGTTGTCTGTTTTTTTTTCGCTCTTAAGTAAGGGAGTATTATGTCTATTAGTCGTAAAAGCTAGTCTCGTAATGCTAGGTCTTACCTCTGGCTTTGCTGGTTTCTCTGTTTTTTCTCTTTCCAGCAGCTAAGAATACAGTAAGATATTGTTATAATAGTTGTCTTGTTTTTTTTTTCGTTTTTAAGTAAGGGAGCGGTTTATGTGCTTTATATATATCATATATATCTATATAGTATATAGCATATGGGCAGTGTTTCTTCCAGACTTTTCTCCGGGGGGGGGGGGGGGCACTTGAAATTTTCGGGGGGCAGGGGGGCGGACACTTAAAAGTATATATTTTCTATATAAATTATATAAATATCGTTCGGGGGGGGGGGGGCCAAATATGCCTGGGAGAAACTCTGCATATATGACAGGCTAAAACATATTTACATCTTGTAAAACATACCTTTTGTTCTATGATTTTATCCATCATCTGTGCCATAGACTATGGACAAAGCAAAAGGTAAAGACATATTTACAAAAATGTTGAGAAATAGATTTTAAAATAGCACTAGAATCTATACCCAGCTGATATTACTTTCCCTACAGTCAGGTACCCTGCGAGGCTAAATAGATTCTGAGATGTCTTGCAAACTCTAGTTCCCGATCTAAATCTGGAATATCTAGTTTGCATTCCAGCGCTTCAACGCCCAACCACGCCGTCCCAGATGTTTAATACTAAACAATTTAAAAAAAAAAAACTAAAACGTTTTTATTACCATTTTTATTTTTTTAGCTGGCGAACTCTTGTCCAAGTTGTCCTAAGAAAAGTAAAGATATCGTTAGGCCTTATTGCATTTTTATAAGGGGAAATAAATCTACAACTATCGAATACGAACGTTGGTGAAACAAAAGGGAAAAATTGTGTAAAAAAAAAAAGAACATATCAAAATAGATAAAAAGAACATACCAAAATAGATACAGTGTTTCTTCCAAACTTTTTTCTCCGGGGAAGGGGGGGGGGGGGTGGGCGATAGACTTTCTTCGGGGGGGGGGGGGGGACGGGAGACACTGTTAAAAGTAACTATTTTATATTTTTTTATATAAATTATATAACTTTCATTTCGTTCGGGGGACAGTAGAATTTTTCGAAGAGATGCCTGGAAGAAACTCTAAATAGAAAATATAATATTGAATATAGATCTAAATAATGGATAGGCCTACTCCGTGATTAATCAATGGGATAGATTTCGGCTACACGTGTACGATGGAAGGCCGTACTTATAAATACCTACGAGAATATATGTCAGTAGATTATTACCGACGGGAATGTAGGACACACGTATTGAAGAAAAAAGGATACAGGGGAAAAAGAGTCAATTTTTTTTAATTTGAACAGTTCAATCCCTAAAACAATTTTCATTCATACCCACACACCCAGCACTTGGAGTTGTGTACAAATATGTCACCCTGCACCACATCGTGTAGCCCCTTTTGATTTGCTTAATTAAACTTTACAGTTGTACTGTTTCATTGATGAGTGTCCTTTGAAAAGCATCTCGCTCTCATCTGTGCAATGAATTCTGTTAGTGAGCCTTAAATGCTGAAAAATGCTTGATCTTGAAAAAATAATTGATATGAAGATTTTAACAGAATTTCAAAGTAGGCATACCCGTCTCATTGCAAAAATGGGACCACATGATTAGCCATTTTGAATTTAAAACACTAAAAGCACTTAGGTACAAGAGATGGTAACCGAAATAACACTGCAGGCTCAAAAAAGCTCACCAGGCTTGACAAGTCGATGTAAAGTTCGGTTTGATGAAGCACTGTTACCAAATATATCAGCAAGTTATGTATGTCAAGATGATCACAGATCAAATGTCCTTTCGTCAAGGTAGAGAGTGTAAACTGACCACTTCTGATCACCATCAATCAAATCCGATTCAGAATCATGAAGTTGATACACCATCCGTTCATCCTCCTGCAACTCAGAACAAATTTTGTCTGCTGTATCAACATCTGATGGAAACTCCATGGAAATCTCTTTTCCTCAAATATATTTCTTAGATGACATGATACCTGACAAAAAAGAAAAAAAATATATATCTCGTCATGCTGATTAAAGTGAACTATTGAAATGCATACAGTAGCAAATAAAACGTGTGCATTGTCTCATAATACATGTATAATAGAAGTTAATAGTCGGAATTACTATTACTATAAGATTTGACACTTTATTATATACTGAATATTTATAGCAGAACTATTTGGGTTTCCAAATATTTTCTTTTTAAACGGAACCTGCATTTAAAATAAACTAATTCACACGCTCTTCGGTAGGCCTATAAGCTAGAGTGGAGTGGTAGCACAGTATGCTCTCTAGGCATATCGCTACCACCCCCCCCCCCCCCACCTGTCTAGTGAGCTGTTTACAAGAATAGAGCCCGTCGGATTGGTGACGGCTATTAGGGGCAGATAATTTGGTTTGTAAGAGATTTAAACTAAGGTGAGGTAATAACAAGTTCTGCTAGATCTTTTCATTGTCGTATGTAAACCGTCGTCACGGACGGCTGCTTTCACGGGGGGGGGGGGGGGAATAATCGTCCTTCACGAGCTACTGATAGCGTTTTGAAGCAAAATATTTTCAGTCGCAGCATTGGTAGTGTTGAATTCATCTTTATATATAATTCTCTTCATGGATACCATAGAAAACATCACGCAGCTTAGCCACCACCCTCATCCCCCGCCTGTCAGATGAGCTGTGGTTCACCCCGAATGTTTACAATCATAGAGAGAGTTGGAATAAGTGACGGCTATTAGGGGCAGATAATTTCGTTTTTAAACGATTTGAAACTAAGGGGAGATAAAAAGTTCTGCTTGCTATTGTCATTGACGTCTGTAAGCGGCTGCTTTCACTGGGCGGGGGTGGGGTGGGGAGGCAGGGGGCGTGGTAGTGTCGAATTAACAAATTATGAATTGTTGATAAGTAGAAAAAACAACTAGATAGTGGCGTATGTTTACGGCGCGGATCAACTCGTAGAATCTTACTTAAAAAGGGGTGGTGTTAGGTTACCGGTAGTTTAGTAAATACAAATATAACTTGCTAATGTTAATCCTATTCTTAACCCACATTCTAACCCAAGTCCTACCATAGCTCTGACACCAATTTCTGACCATAAAACTAAATATGAAACAACAAACTACTGACAACCTAAAACGTCAATTCAACGTCAACTGGTTTGTTGCGACGCAATGCTGAACGTTTTAAAATCTCTCGTGCAGGAATGCGATCGTTGACCTTGTGTATGCACGTGGTTTAACACTAGCTTTCGTGAACCTCAAGATTCAAGATTCGATAGAATATTTTAACGTGCTAAAAATATGTAATAAATAAAACTGCTTACCTGACTATAGACGGCTTGGACTTGGAAAACTTGAAGTTGAGTCAAAATGTATGTGCGTAAGTATGTTGCACCAAAAACCAAAGTGCACGGATAGCCAGTGGCGTAGGCAGGGAGGGGTGGGGTTGGGAGGTGGGGGGTCATAACCCCCCATAGACCCCTCGGTACATATATAAAGTATGAGGGAGGGTGTAAATCGAAAGTTTGAGGGGGGGGGGTGTAAACCAAAAGTTTGAGGGGGGGGGGGGTGCAAATCGAAAGTTTGAGGGGGGTGCAAATCGAAAGTTTGAGGGGGGTGCAAATCGAAAGTTTGAGGGGGGTGCAAATCGAAAGTTTGAGGGGGGGGGTTACAAATCAAAAGTTTGAGGGGATGCAGATCGAAAGTTTGTCCCCGGGTAAAAATTTGAACCCCCCCCATGAGACGATCCTGGCTACGCCACTGCGGATAGCTGCTGTGGAACAATTAGTGTTTTATAAGATATCTCTCCCCCCCCCCCCCCCATCGAAAATATCTACACAGTACATGTTATTGAAATGGTCGACGTGAAAGGAGATTGAAAGTGGATTCTTGTGTACTTGGGTAGGGGGGGGGGTAATTTTAAAAAATTCGGAAATAACGCGACTGGCAATGGGAAAAAAAAACGTGCCTCTTTTTTTGGCATCTTCTAACCCGATGGCTTTTTCCAGTATTATAAATAAAAAGGTCTTTCATAAATTTAATCTTTAATGGCATACAATAGACACGACTACATGGACGACGACAGCCATGACGAAGACTTCCATACCCTCACACGACAAGACAGACTAATTTTTAATATTCTCCCACACGTCACATCCTTACTTGCCTCGTCACATTCAACATCTTTTATTAATATAGCACATTCTACTACACACATACTCTCATGCGACAATTCACAACAATATGTACTTCGAGAAGGGGGGGGGTAAATTTATTAAGTAACTTGAGAAACTGACGGCCCACATCGCGAATGGCAATAGAAAAAAAAACTTACAAGCTGTAGAGTAGGCACAACATTGTGAGCTGCAGCTACGGAAGCTGTACACTCGGTAGCCTGGGGGTCTTCATACATTTCAGATTTGAAATCTGACTTCTGGGGTTCCTGTATTATAAATAAAGGTAAAGGTTAGAGGTATAACCCCCCCCCCCCTATGGACCCCTCTGTAAAAAATGGAACGGAATCTTCTTTAAAATAAACCGGGAGTGATCTCCCCTAAACTTTCTCGAATATTCTTATATAAAACAACAGGGGATGGGAACTCGGGCTACAGACATGATTTTTAATCCATTTTAAATACTTAAAGTTTTAAAAATAGAATAAAATCTCGTAGACAAATTAATTGCACACCAAGTGAACGCGAAATAAAAAAGCGCATAATAGTGCGCAATATTATTATTACTTTTAAAATTTACATTAGTTTTTTGAGAAATCGGAAGTAGCGTAAAGTACTACTTCCAGTCAACGGAAATGACTCAAAATTTAATAGAAGGTAGAGAATTAGATCTTTTACTTACGTATGAAATTTCATTTATCTATCTGAAATAGTACTCAAGTTATAGGCTTTTGAAAAATTCAAAGTAGGAAAAGTACCACTTCCAGTTATCGGAAATCGCTCAAAAGTTGATACGGATCTACGATTTTGATTAAATACTTATATATGAAATTTCATCAACCTAGCTGTAACGGTACTCAAGTTATCGTGTTTACACACGGACAGACACACACACGGACAGACACACACACACACACACAGACATACGGACAAGATTGCAAAATTATGTTTTTCCGTATTAGTGAGGTGTAAAACGTCGAGATTTGTAAAAATCTCGATTTTTTTTTTTGCACGATTACAATACTTTCTCTATACTACGTATATACGAGAAAGTAAAAACGGATGTTAGGTTACTGGTAGTTAACTAAATACACATGGCTTAATAGTAGTAAATTAAAATACACACATGGCTGGTTAATGTCAATGCTAATCCTGTCCCTAACCCTAACCCCAACCCTGGTCCTACCATACGCCTAACCCTCATTTCTAACAACCCAACACCCCTTTTTTAAAAGAAGATTCCATTATCGGACACCGGTATCTAGAATTATCAAAAACGGAAAAACTTACTAGATTTTTAGCGCAATCCATTGTAATAGGCCTAAGCTAATTTTTCCGGTTTGGCTCGTTGTATTTATATGAACTTGGCCAGGCTTTTTTTTCAATATTGCTTGCTAAATCAAGTTGCCAAATAGTGTACGTTTTATTGTCTACATTGTTTATTTATAAAATATTTTTACCGGTATGTTGGTAATTATACTTATTCCTTTATGTGCTTTCCCAAGCAGGAACACCATTTTTAGTCTGTATAGTGGAATCGGATCTGAAGTGTAGTCTAATCACTTAAACAATTTAATTCCGCAAAAAATAAAGCGTTTCAGATCTTACACTTCCATAGCCGATGCACGAAAATTGAAGTGTATTTACAGATTGACAATAGTGTAACAGTTTCTACCTTTACCAACAGGCAACAAACCTTCGCAAACAATAACTCTCAACACATGCTCACTATGACACTGTATAAGTTTCAAATATGTTTCCCTATATATATATATATATATATATATATATATATATATATATATATATATATATATATATATATATATATATATATATATATATATATATGTGTGTGTGTGTATATATATATATATACATATATATATATATATATATATATAAATATATATATATATATATATATATATATATATATATATATATATATATATATATATATATATATATATATATATATATATATATATATATCGTATATTCTAAGACAAGTGATCTTTTTTCTAAATCTGGGCGACCGCCAATGCGTCAGCTACGTAGTAGGGCGCTCTCCTGAACCCAAGTTACACTACCTCAGGGCGCCGCGTAAGGTCCCTGGCTCGGTTAATCAACGAATGTCATCTGCCACCGTGTCAATATTATAGGGTGCTCTTTAAAACAAACGCGCCTGATTCAATTTAGTGAGCGACTATAACGTCCCATCTTATTCATTGTCTACCGCACTGTTTAGAACGAACGTAGACGCCATTTTGCTAACGGGAAAGCCCAGGGCGTCAAATCACACCCTGTAGGGGCGCCCAGAGGACGCACTGATTCAATATAGTCAACGGCTATTTTTGCCCATCGTGTCTTTAGCGTGTAGTCTTTTTTTAAACTAATGTAGGCGCCATAGTGCTCACAGAGGAGCCCGCGGTGCTTAAGGTCAAGCAATAGCCGGGGCACTGGCGGCTGCGCTTGTTGAAGTTTTAACGCTGAATATAGTAGTACCTCTTGTCCGCTATGCAGGATGTCCGATTAACGGATACCATGTGCTATGATAGTTGCTATGTAACTCTGAGCGCCAAACAGTGTATTTACAAAAATTGCACCCTCCCGGGCGCTGCCCATAATAAATTTTAATGTTTTTTTTTCGCAGAACCATTTTCAGTATTATTCACATCAACCCTCCAAAGTTTCATGTCACTCGGATGAATGGTCTCGAACCGCATCCAATTTTTATTTGTATATACCGTATACAGAGAAAATCGCACACTCGTTGAGTGCCGCCCTAGAGAAATAAAAAAAAAAAGATTTTTTTGCAGAAAAGCAATCGACTTTTTATTTTTTATATACTGTATATAGAAAAGAATCAAATCGCGTCATGTTGGGGCGCCACCCCTGCGAAAATTTAAAACATTTTCGCAGATACCTCTCCAAGAGTATTCTTAGAAACTTTCGAAAGTTTCATGGTGATCGGATGAAAAGTATAGTCATGCATAAAAAACAAACAGAAAGGCAGACAAACACATACACATATATTGCTTCAGTGTTTCTTCCAGACCTGTTTTCTCCGGGGGGGGGGGGGGGCACTTAAATTTTCGGAGGGGGGGGGGCGGTAGACTTTCTTCGGGAAGGGGGGCGGACACTGTTAAAAGTATATATTTTCAATATAAATTATATAAATTTCATTTCGTTCTGGGGGGGGGGGGGCGGTAGAATATTTCTCCTCCTCCCCCCCCCCCCACTTCCCCGCCCCGCCTCCCTCCCCGCTTCGCCCCGTCGCTAAGCCTCTGGATTACCTTGACTAAGTTGAGACACTTTCATACCAAGTCAATAATGCTGAGTTGAATTCTACGTGTAAAAAATAAAGCTGAGTTGAATTCACCGTGTAAAAAAAACAGGTGAATTTAGTTTAACTGCTTTAGATGGTGAGTTGAGGCTTGACGGAAAGAGATGATTACATTGATATTTACTTTTTTTATCACACGTACGCCTGAATCCCCCGCCCATCGCACCCCTACTCCTCGACACACCACAAAATATTTGATAGAGAGTTACTATAATGAAAGAGAAATGGTACATTCCAACTAGAACTAGATCTATAACTAGAAATTTGCCACACTGTTTGAAAACATGCCAAAGATGATGTTATCAGAGCTTACGATTATTTTTTTTTTAATCTGCCGTGCTGTGGGGGGGGGGGGGGGGGCAGGGTTATGGTCATTGACCATGACTAAGGCCTTGATTACGTGTAGTAAGTACATGATGGTTGAATGAGCAGTAAGAAATACAAGATGATTGAATATGGGCGGTAAAAAAATGATGACGGAATGAGGGGGGGGGGGGGGTGGGAATAATTGCTGTTTGGATAACTAAGCAACTCTTAATTTAAGTAAATCTGATCCGGTAAACAAAACAATATTATATATATATATATATATATATATATATATACATATATATATATATATATATATATATATATATATATATATATATATATATATATAATATATATATATATATATATATATATATATATATATATAAACTTTATAGCAACAAACTTTTAAATTCTCTGAAAATAAGTAAATAAAACTAGCGTTCGTACATAAACGCTATCATGAGATCTTTTAAATATTTTAGCAACCAAAGCTTGTATGAAAGAAAGCTAGTTTTATTTTCTTATTTTCAGTGCATTTAAAAGTTTGTTGCTAAAAAGTTTTTTTTAATTTGGAACAATTACGTATAATTCATTTTTTTTTTCTGTTTCCCAATTTATTCTAGTAGACGTTATCCGCGAAAGACTATAAACAACTATAAACATATCTATTCATTTATAAATCATGGTCCTTATGAGCAAGCTAGGTATGTATCTGTCATTTAGAGGTCTGTTACTTATGAGGTCGAACGGCTGAGTATCACTGATGCTTTCATTCACCAGTCATGACTGAAAGCGACTATGCGTTAGGAGTACGTTGTCTGCCCTTGATGACCTTTCATTTGTTTCTGTTTCTGCATTGATGTGTGGGTTGCGACGTATGTGCTTGACCGTGACCTTACGCTGTGTTTCTTCCATGCATCTCTTCGGGCATATGCTACGTCGCAGGTCAGCTCGTAGAAAATAAAACAACTGAATAGCGGCGTATGTTACGTCACGGGTCAGCTCGTGTATATTAATTGGCTAGTCGATTGCGGGTATACTTCTTTTTAAACATGTGTTTCTCAAACATGAATGTTCATTGGAGCTATTTCTCGATGTTAGCATACGTTGGTTGGCACCAAAATATTTTATTTATCTAACGCTGTTTACATCTGACTAAGTGCTGCCTTAATTTTTTTATTACCAGTTTTTTCGATACCATTTGCAAGTATTGTTTTCTTATGAATGGTGTTCACTATATGCCTGTTAGTTTTACATTTTAAAAATCTGGCATAATTGTATCTTGTGTCGTTTTTGTCTAATCTGCCGTTTTCACTGTTAAGCAGCAGTTTTTCCCCCCTAAAATGGGGGGGGGGGTGGGGAAGGTGCACTCTGTGTCAGTATCAGTGTCATCATGATGTATGCCTTTGAAAATTTTGAGTACTTAAAGCAATGTTTTCCACCAGTCATAAATACGTGGTGATCAATGCTTTTTACAAAGGGGACGACGTGGTCGAGTCGGTAAAGGTAAAGCTCATGGTTGCTAAACCGAAAAGTCTCGAGTTCGAACCCTCGGGCAGATGAGGCTCGTTAGCTGGGGCACTCTTCTAGGAGAGACAACTCCAAAATTAAACTACTGCTGCCTTGTAGTTTGTTCTTGGTTGGACAAAGGCTATGGAAGCAAATCCAAAAAGAAAAGCAGGCTGAAATCGGAGTCAATGGCCTCAATGGCGCATAACCAGATGATACGTAACGCTTAATTGTGTTGGAGGTGTGGTCGAGTCGGCAAAAAGCTCATGGTTGATAAATTCGAACAAAAAAGCCTCGAGTTCAAACCCACTGGCAGATAAATCTCGATCCCCTTCAACGCTAATAATTAAGAACGAAGAAGAAGAAGAAAAAGCTTTTTACAAGCTTTTATTTAACTTGCTTTTTCGTACTTTTGTCTGTCTTTCGGTTGTCCGTCACAGATCAAAACTGCTGAGCGAAATTTCAAACCCTTCTAATTGATTGATTTGTTTTAAACTTGCTATCTGACATCACATTTGACTTAATAGGATGACTAAATAGTTATTTTTTTAAAAATTTAATTAAAAATTTCTTAAATTAGTAGTACTACTATTCCGCATATAATACGCGCATTGCATGTTCATTTGTTGCGCAATAGTTTTTAGTCAAGAAACTCTATTGTATTTAAAAAAATAAAGTACTGAAAAAATGCACAAAAACATTCTAATAACAAGATTTTATGTTATAATGCACTAAAAAAATTTCTCGAAAAAAACTGGGAGAGCTTTAAGAAAATCAGGCTAATTAATTAAAACCAGAAGTTCGAGATACGCGTGGCATACGGCTCTGTGGGCTATAAGGCAGTAACGTAACTCTGCCTCCGTATCGGAGACTTCCTGTTGGATTTCATCACAGACATTGCTTCAGCCATCGGCTTCTCTCCCATGCTAGTTTGACGTTGATTTGTTGACGTTTCTGTTTCTGTGAGTTTTAAGAGGTGGGTTGTTAGCCCAAAACTATTTTTTTTAAACTTCGTCATTTCTCATTCTGAATATGGGGCCAAACAATTGCAGGTTTAAAAGTTTTTTTTTTTTATAAAAAACGTTTTTGATAACAAGCTTTTATGTAATAATACACTAAAAAGTAGAAATAAATTATACACTACTATTT